GTTCAAATCAAGCCTGAAGAAAATGTGAAAATAGAAAAGAAATATGTGAGAACTGATGGTAAAGTAGAAGTTGAATTCATGGCTAAAGTAGCTGGCCAGTTGACAGCAGCGGTTCAAGTGAATGGGAATCATGTATCTAACAGTCCACTAGTGGTGAATGTCAAGCCACAAGAGATGAGAACAACAGGACAGTTTAACATGGAAGGTGTAAATATAGGAACTAGTGAAATAAGAGGTATAGCATTAAACAGAGACAATAGCAGGATCGCTGTTTCAAGTGATTCTTCTGACTGTGTCCATGTATTCACCACAAATGGAGATCTCTTACTGACATATGGTAGTCGAGGTAGTGCACAGGGACTGTTGTATGGTCCTGAAGGCTTAGCATTTCTGAATGATACAGATTTAGTCATAGTAGAATGCGGTAATGATAGAATATGTATAGTGAACACTACAACAGGGACACTGGTAAAAACCTTTGGTAACCAAGGTAACGGGGATGGAGAGTTTCAATATCCTTGCGGTGTACACGTCGATGACGATGGTAACATCATTGTGTGTGATCATTATAATCATCGTGTTCAAGTCTTCACAAGAGACGGTGACTATCAATATCAGTTTGGTTTGACAATACAGGACAGGTTTACTCCTACTGATGTGATAACACATGATGGACTGTTTTACGTCAGTGATAAGAATAATCATGTTATTCATGTATTTGAGAAGAAAGGTAACGTACCGACTAGAATATCGACGATTGGTTGTAAAGGCAGTGCTGATGGTCAGCTGTATGAAGCATGGGGACTGTCTATTGATAATGACCATCATCTACTGGTGTGTGATTATAATAATAACCGTGTACAAAAATTCACATTGGATGGTCGTTTTGTAGGAAAGACTTGTGATGTAATCCATTCCCCTCTATTTATAACTGTTTTAAAGGATGGTCAGTTGTTGTTTAGTACGTGGGATTCTGGTGTCTGGTGTGTAAAGTAGAATTGAGTAATATTTTCAGTCACCATGTTTGATCGGTATGTCAAATTGAATGATGTTCCGGGGCTTGACATGTGCTAAAATATCACTATTCGCAGTTTATACATTTAATATATGTTTATTCTTTTTTACTTTTGTTTGCGTTTGCTTTCTTTTGTCTTCTTTCACTGTTTTTTGCTTCCCTTTTTTTCTTTTTTTCTTTTTCCTTTTTTTCTTTTTTTTCTTTTTTCTTTTTTCTTTTTTCTTTTTTAGTTTTTTATCAAATATTGATATATCGAATACGAAACTGAAAAAGAAAAGGAAAATAAAAAATTACCAAAAAGTGAAGTAGTGAAAGGAGACAAAAGATTCGATATAATCTTCCACCATAAAGCGGTTCGTATTATTTCAGATCTCCTTCCATTGTGATCCGCTACTGATGTTTTGGAAAGATTTTATGACAGCTTTATCATCAAAAAAAGGCGTCCTTCGTGCAATTTTTATTGATAGGTGTATAGATACCCGATAAAACACGATCTACGAGTTTATTAAACTACTTAAAAACACTCACGATGTATGTTCTGATATTGTACCTAATTCTTTACGAAATGAACCAAGTTTGATAGAGAAAATCAAAGTTAGATTTTATGCGAATGAAGACGAATCTATATCAGATATAAATGAAGAAATAGAAAACGCGCGCGTGTTCTGTGTGCTGTCATAAAGCACGCGGGGGTTGGCAGAACACGAGAGAAGTGTTAGGAGAAGCACGACGCGTAGCGGAGTGCTTCTGGACACTTCTCGAGTGTTCTGCCAAACGGCCCAAGTGCTTTATGACTGCACACAGCACAGCAAGCAAGTTTTTTATTTCTTTTATANTATCATATACACTTTTACAGTAACTCCACTGATAAGAACCTAACTTGAAATTTGTATAGGAAATCGCACAATCTTGAGTACAATTTGGAAATCAATAGACACGAGTAATGTTTTGAAAGTTCTTGTAATTGCACGAGCCTTTAGGCGAGTGCAATTAAGCAACTTTCAAAACATTACGAGTGTCTATTGATTCCAAATTGTACGAGAAGATCGTGCGATTTTTTGTTAATAGTTCACTCAACAAAATTTCAGTAAAAAATGCGAAGCGAGGCCGTTCATCTTTGTCTATTTGGCGGCCGATTTTCAGTCCATCGCGCAACTGAAATGCATAAAAAAAGATTAGTTCTTACGGCTTTAAAATTTTGTTTATAAGTTTTTTAAGTACAAAATGATAGAAAATAATTGTTTTGAAATTGTTTTGGCCGTGTTGCCATAGCGACTTAATTCGGTTCTCCTACGTAGTACAATTAACGCTATAATTGTACTCCTTTCGACCAATCAGAGTCGAGTAATTTTGTTGAGTGTACTATAATAGCTGTAATAGGTTCTTATGTGGAAGGGGCTTAAAATGAACATTTTAGCCTAACAGGTTCTTAAAACCCAGGTTCTTATACGCGGGTTTTTACTGTATCCATATTGACGATTCTTAAAAGTCTCGTGATGCGGGCTTAACCTCGAATCCAGGTAATATTTGTTTTTGTTAGGGTAATTTCCACTTTTGTTTTCTATTTTAGGAGAGAGGCTAAGCCCGCATGCACGTGACTTTTAAGAATCGTCAATATCGAATACGAAAAGAAAAAAGAAAAGGAAACTAAATAAATAAATAACAAAAAAGTGTAGAATGAAAGGATGCAAAAGATTATATATAATCAGATCTTCCATTTCTATTCCCTAATGTTGTTTTGGAAAGATGTTAAAAACAAGAAATAGCGGCTTTATCGTAGAGAAGAGTCGAGCTTCGAATTTTTATCGATAGGTGTATAGATAGCCAGTTTACGAATAGCTAATGAAGTTTAGTAAAGACTTATAACATACTTGAAAATAACTGCTCTAAATTTTGTGTTGTGATTGGTTGGGAGCTCATGCTTTATGAGAGCACACAGCACGTACACGTACTTTCATTTGCGTCACTCCTATCTATAATAACGGTTATTGTTATTTGTATTTTATGAAAGAAATAATAAACTTGCTGTGCTGTGTGGAGTTATAAAGGACTTGGGTATTGRCAGAACACTCGAGAAGTGTCGTTAAGTAGTCCGCTACGCGTCGTGCTTCTCCTAACACTTCTCTCGTGTTCTGCCAACCCCCGCGTTCTTTATAACTACACACAGCACGCATGCGCGTTCTCTATTTCTTCATTCATTTATAATACATTTGATAATGTTACTAAATAATAAATTTGGTAATATTACTATTATTAGTATATCAATGGAGACTGARAATGAGTTTTACGTGAAACCGCAGACCGGGAGTAATGCATGCTCAATACATGTGCTCCAGCGACGTGGACAATCTGGTACCCAGAGCCTTTATCTCTTACTGCGCATGCATAAAGGCTCTGGGTACNCGCTTTCCAGAGATGGGCTCCTTTACAATCCAAAGTAATTCAGTCACTTGTGTCTAAACGAGCCAGGACTTCTTTATAAACAGTTCATTACCTTACGAAATCTAAAGATGCAATACAACTTTTGTATTGTGGACCTTTTAGAATAAACATTTTCATAAGATCAAAGTTTTCCTCTTTCTCTTTTCCCTTCATTTCCCTTCCTTTCGTCTCTTTTCCTTTCTTGCTCACTTTTTGCCCCTTTGCTTTCCTTTCTTTATCTTCTAACACCGGTTTAGAAAATACCCCAATGGCACAAAAACGACCGTTTTATGGATGAGACAACGATGGTATATAGTTGCATTGTCATCCACCATTTGCACACGAAATCTTTCGGAAAACTTTCGAAATTCGATAATTAGAAAATTCTCTGAGCTCGTTATGTCGCCACAAAGATTTCTATATCCTAGAAAATTTTCCTTTGCTATCAAGGTAGTTCCGGACCCTTGCTACTGCGCATCCATTTCGCGCATCTCGTTTTTTACCCTTTATTTGCGCTGTTTTGAAAATTGATTTAAATAATGTCAGAAGTTGAATCCTTTTCTATAACTTATCAAACTATTTTGCTAATTCATGGAACTTTTGAGGCAAAAATGAAATGTTTTCAAAACATGCTTAGATTTTCATTGCCTGACTTGGTCACTCTTGTTTCAAAACAACAAATTCATAACTTTATGAAAATGAAGTAAAAAATGAATTTGACATGTTATTCTCAAAATCAATTCGAAATACGTCTTAGATTCTCTGGAGATTACAAAGACGATTTGACATGCTTCAGACGGAGGTTAATGTACTAGAACCCAGTCCCGCGCGGACAGGATTTGCGTTTTTTGATCAAAAACCTTGGATTTAGTCGCTCATAGCTCGTCTATTAGTACGGTGACCTCCAATTTTTTCTTTTAATTTAAAGCTTCAACATTTTTAACCACAGACGCATATAACTGCGCCGAATTGCAAGCAATTTCGCTTCTAGAATTTAATTTTCACGCCACTTTCAAAAGATTGCATGGTTTTTTTTATCAAGGCATGTTTCCTAGATTCAACAACTATCGTTTAAAACAGTTTTCTGTTTTTCTTTATTAAATGCAATCGAGCAATTCGAATTCATTGGCGGGGACAGATTTTCGGCAAAAACGCGCGGAAAACTGAAAAATCACACCTTTTTGACGCCTTATATCTCGATAACCAATACGGGGACCCCCTTCTTTTTTATTATTATTATTATTTGAATGCCCTAACAATAAACTTCGAATGACAGAATTAAAAAAAAATATTCATAGAAGAATTTTGAAGATCCGGTACTACCTTAAACAAGCGAATATCTCTATGAATGCTCGCAAAAGATTCGGCAACATGTTGGAAGTTCTTGGTTCAGCTCC